AGTAGTTCAGAAATGGCATTACTGTGTATGTGGTTCCAGAAGTGCAAACAAGGAAAATATATGTGGGTGTACATTATTGTCTAATGCAATCAATAAAACTACCATATATTTCAAAGAGACTTTATCCTGATGATTAAAGAAATTAGGTTAGGTTTGGTCATGAGAAACACACAGCTGCATGGATCATCTGAAATGTTGGTTGAGATGCGGGTGCACAGCCCTGTGGGCAAAGAAAAGGAATTGGGAGCATTTTTAATTGAGGACTGTGCACATTTATTATAATGTCAGAAGAGTCTGCATGATGTGCCTAAATGTATACATTCAAACTTCTGCAGTAAGGTATCCACAAATTCTGTAATACAAATTCTGCAAATAAGCATATATTTGCCTAATGCACATAGTTTCTTTGTTTCTGCAATATACAAGGGAAATCATGGAGCCATTCAGGGGCACTGAAGTTTTACCTTCTAGACTCATTTGAAAGCTAAGATACTCAGGACATTGAATTCTGCTCATTCCACTCCTTTAAGATTGGTTTCAGAACCTGATGAAGAAAACCTACAAGGCACAGTACACTAGTCTGGTGAGAAATTAACCAGCAGGGGGCTGTATTACGTGACATCTGAGGTTAGTTCCAACTCTATGATTCAAACTAGAGTCTTCAGTACTGTGTGAACAGCAGCAATATCCCGACCTGACTCTCAGGCATGCCAAACCCAACACATTTGTTATGAAGCCCACGATGACCACCACTGAGCATGTATCACCAGCACATTTGGCAAGAGATCTGTTTTTCATGCTTCCATCTGATGATGGAAAGTTCAGCAGACTCTGGGGTTCTCACTGCAATAAACAGGCTCCAATGGAAGACTTTCTAGCCTACTCAAGACTTCTTCAATAGGGCCTTTTTTTTTTTTTTGCTTAGGCATTTCCTTCTGCCTCCAAACAGAAATTTTTAATATACCATAATGTTAGTCATGTTCCCTGAGCACACATTGGCATTGGCATTACTATGGCAATACTTACTTGACTGGGGTATCAGAATGGAGTGACATAAGAGAACTACACGAGGACTTCCTCCATAGTATCCTGAAATTCCAACTCTCACCACGAGAGCTGAGATCTCTAAGTTCTGCACAGCTTGAGAGCATGTGCTGGCTGCCCAGTCCAACAAGACACTTGGCAGATCCCAAACATTTAAAGACATGCAGCTGAATCCAAATCTTGGAAAACAGGGGAAATGGTCCAAAGGAAAGCTAAGCTGATTAATCTTGGCCAAGGACTGGTGTGCCCTAGATATCAAATGGTTACCAGTCCGAAGGCTGCAATGTGCTACAAGCAATGTGCAGCAAGCAAGAGTTCTAGTTAACATTGCAGGTGGCATCCAAATTCGTGTCAAGTGGAAGCACCCCAGGAATACCATTTCAGAAGCGTATGGAGCTTTCTTTCTTGTTCTCTTTATTAAATGTACATACCGTCCAACTGACAAATGCCGGCAGGGCATTTTTCAGCCACAAAACAAAAATAAAACAATAACCTATGCAATAATACAATAAATGAACTAGCAAAATATTACACATATTAAAATATTAAAAATACTGAAAATGTAGGAATACATTTAATTATTTTTAACCATCTATCTTCCCCCATCACCTTCTCCACTTTCCCAGTTCTCCCTCTTGCTTAAAAGGCAAGCAAGCAATGATGCTGCTGCTGCCGGTGTGACCCAGAGGACAACTCGCTGGTGGGTTGTGACCCAACAGCTGAAGATTGATGGTCTGTCCTGAGAAGAGAGGGCAAGACTTTGTCTTTGTCTGGACATGAAGGTTCAGTTAGAGGGCTCCCTTGAAAGAGAAAATCATTTGTTTTTCTTGGCAGGGAGAAAGGATGAAACCAAGAAAGGAAAATACTCCTCCAGAGACTCCATATTTCCAGGATGCACAGGGTGAAGGAGTCTACATTAGCCTTCCCTAACCTGATAATCTTCAAATGTGTTGAACCACAGTCCTCATCACCCTCAATCCATTTAAAAGATACAGGAGTTGCTGTCCAAAACAGAAAAGAAGTTATCATGCAAAAAAAAAAAAAAGATGTTTCCTTAACCTAATCTGCAAATTCCAGTTTTTTTCCAAGGCAAGCTGGTTCCAGCAAAAATTCAAGAAACAAAACGACGGAGAATTACAGTTGCCAGACCTGTTAATGTTGCTCACCCAGCAGTTTATACTTTATATTCCATGGCAAGTATCTTTTATCAGAAAGGCTTGAACAAAAAATAAACAATAGCTATGTGTGACGTTATTGATAATCCACACCACAGCCTAATCTTTCTGAGCTGGAAGGGAACAGATAAGCAGTCCCTTTGCTTCGCCTGAAAGATTTAAAGTTTAGCTGTTCCAAATAAAGTGCCTGCATGGCTGCTCGCACATACTTAAAATACAAAATGGTATTTTTAATGCTGAAAACATTTAGTGAACAAATTTCAAAGAGCTATAAGATAATAACAGTTCAAATAGAGGAGTGTAGGACTGAGCTACTGTAAGTTTGCATCTATGTTATCTACCCTCAAAAAGCATGCACCTTTTACTATGCAAAAGTGTTTCTGGTTGCAGCTGCTGTACTTCCTACAAGGGATCACACACACCAGCACCTTTGCAATCAGATGGCAGTGCTCTTATCGGAAAGAAACCAATGCGATGCAGAAGGTCTTGCAGTCGCTCTGAATCAGCTGTTTGACCTCAGCAGTACTGCCATATAGCTACATCTGATTAGTTATGTAATAATTTCATTATTACCATGAGGAAGGAACCTCTTTTTATTATTTCCATAAACAGCCAATCAGGAGTATGAATAGGATAAGAACCAAGTGAATAAAGAAGGAACATTTAAAAAATACGTTGGTCTTCCCCAAAGTTCTCTGTCTAATGCCCAAATATTCACTTACAAACATTTGACAAAGCTCTAAATTAGGACTCAAAATCAAAACACTGCTAGAAAGAAATCAAAGAAGGGGGATTAATGGATAGCCAACCAGTTATTAAAGGTGCAAAATAAAATCAGTCACTAAGAGAGAAAAGACAACCTATATATATCCCAATCCGATCACGGAGGTTTTCCTCTGAGGCTCTTCTCTGAATCCCTCCCCTCAAAGAAGTAAGGTGGGAGATAGCTAGGAGAAGGGCCTTTTCTGTAATAGCACCTTGTTTGTGGAATCCACTTCCACTAGAGATCTGCCTGGCACCTTCCCTATTTTCTTTTAGATACCAGATGAAAATTTTCCTTTTCTCTATCTATTCTGGCAAGTGACTTGACTTGGCTTTAATGATTCTTATACTTGTTTTATCATACTGCCACATTATGAATTTTAGCTGCCAGACAATTCTATCTTATTTACAATCTTATTCTATTTTAGTTAAAGGATGTTTTAAATGGTTTCATTTGAGTGTTTCACTTAATTTCCACTTTTATTTGTTTTTACTAGTATGCACAGCTACATTATGCATGCTTTACCCAACATTCAGCTTGGTCCCCAAACATTTATAGTTACATCTAAAATGAGTGGCCACAATCCAACACAAATTTAGGAGTGTGAGTCCAGTGAAGTAAATTTGGTACAATTCTCATTATAAGCTGAGGAACCGTCATAGCATAAGAGCCTACACATATCTTTGGCATCTACAGTTAAAAGGATCTCAAGCAGCAAACAATAGAAAAGACCTCTGCCCCAGACCCCAGAGAAATCCTGCCACTCCCGGAAGCTCATATAGAGTTTAAACATATATAAGTTTAAACTCATAAACCAGTTACACTTAGCATAAGGCTGTTTCATATATTTATGCAATTACACATTAAAAAACATGATGGAACTCTATGATGCACTGATATCACTGGGTGTTCTCTAGCCTGACAGGTAATGATGCAAGAACTGGTCTCAGCTCAGCTTCTACACTCTATCCATGCTTTCATCTACCACATCTTTTTTGCTTAAGTCTTCCATCTTTGACCTCATGCACAAGTTTTTCGGTAACATCTATGCTTCGTTTCCTGTTCCACTCTAATACAAAACCTAACATGGGGAGAAAAACTGCAGCTTTCTTCCACACTGTGCCTCCCCTGATCTACATATATTGCAAATGCTCCAGACCTGTTTCAGAGCACAGTCTTCAATTGCCAAAACACTGATAAGTAGATAGATGTCATGCCAAATTTTGCTGGGTTTCCCCATTCAGAGAGTTGAGGGCAAGCCCCAAAACTGAGAGAGATTAAGCTAACAAATGTTTTATGCACAAAGGAAGAAAAGGTGCACACAGCGTAACCAAGCACACCTAAATCGGTTCCCTGGTAAACAGTCTTTTTACAACTGAATAAGAGTGTACACTATAGTCCTTCCAAAAAGCCAGAGATATTTTAAATCTGCAGCAAATACACACAGTGCTGAATCAAATCCCGCTGTTTTCTGCCATAACATTCAAAAGCAGGCATCTTTCTACCACTCATGAAATGCACCATGATATTTTTTATACTTTAGATATTTCCACAGCTCAGAGCAAGATTCCCCAACAGGTCAGAGGAAAGGAAAGCACAGAACATGAGTTTTTCTATGGAACCAGTGAGAGGTAGTCTCACTTGCTTCACAGAGTTAAGCTGAGGCGAAGCTTAGCTATTATCCAGGTGGGATAGCTGCCTCCAGAAACAAGGCTGCATGTGAACCACAACCATCAAACATGACACAATGTCCACACAACTCAGGCTGGCAGTAACCATGCAGGACTCAAGCTGGTGGTGACCATCAATAATGACCTAGTTATTTTCAACCAAAATCAGACAGAAAGCCCAGTCCATAACCAGCTTACACAATAGGTGCTCAGGCAATTTGACCTCCCAGCAGCAGACCCAGTTTCTGAACAATACAAACCAGACCACTGACAACACTACTAGCAGAGGGGCTGCAATCCAACACTGCTATTCATCCTTTACTGTTGACAACTGAAAGCAGTTCTTACCTCTGCAGCCAAGTAGTTGCCAGTTGCCAGGTGTTTAAATCTGAAAAGGCTGTTCCATTGTCCTGCACCTCCACGGCATGGATCATGATGTACCACCTATGGAAATGACACAAATATGCCAAAGTTATCATTGCCATCATTACCATGTGAAGAAAAGTAAGCAGCATAATAAAGAGAATATTCAGGTACCATGCTTAGGTAATCCTATGAGGATGCCTATAACCCTCCAGTCTTGGAGGATTATGAGCATCCTATGCAGGGTGGAAAGAGCATGGAGACAGAATTTACCTTCATGTTCCTCCTCTCCTGAAGAGCAACGAGACAGCCAGTTTCAGCTGGCTGCTGCACTCTGGAGCAGGAAGAATGGAAGCTAAGGGGATACCAAGATACAGTCTCCTCCCTTCCTTGTGAAACACCTACTAAACACCTTCTCTGAGGTTGGTTTTGTGACCTGGGGAAGCAGCTAGCATGCTTCCTTCCATGATGGCTGTGAAGCAGCCGAGGAAACTCCAAGTGCAGAATTGTAGCTTCAGTGACTGAGCAATTTGCTGACTTTCGAGAGGTGACTGTGAAAAATCCTATAGCCCTCTAGATGCTGGTTAGGTAACAGAAGATTGCACTACCCAGAAGCTAAATCTTGCAAGGTCTTGCAATCCAAACTGAGGAAAATACCTCTATTTCCCACAGAGCTTTAGAACTTGTTGCAGAAGTGGCTGACTGACGCAATGTTGTGCGAAGGAAGATATGTTGTTTCTTCTGATACTCATCACAGGTCAGAAACTTCTCCTGTTCGGCATGGAACAATCTGACAACATCTCCCTGAGGGAATGGATGGATGGGTGAATGGAGAGAGACAGACAGACAGACAGACAAATAAATAAATAAAGTGAATGTGTCACGTTCAGATGTTTATAAATCTGAAGTCCCTTAAGGTCTTCCTAATGCATCTGAAACCAAGATCCAGTTATTCTCTTCATGACAACCAAAATTCATTGAAAAGTAAGAATGGGATAATGACACCACTTGATTAGATACCTTACAAAGAAATAATCAAGTATCATGAAGAATGGGAAAATATGAAATAGTTGCATTTTTGTTATATCTAAATCAGATTCAAAACAATGTGATTTTTTTTGTTTATGTACAAATAGCTTAGATTTTACAAGTTACTGAAATTTAGTACACTTTTTTTTAAGCTGCAAAGTTGTCATTCATACTTACACCTTTGAGAACATCTTCTCTGTAGCAACTGTATTTCATGAATAAGGTTATTTTCCAGCTGGTATTACAATTGACAGCATTGACCTGTGGTCAAGTACACAAAGAACTGTAGTTCATGTTGTAGAAGAGTCATGCACAAATGTTTCTATAGTGATATTATCTAATAATGCTCTTGCTTGCCAACATCAACTATTACAGCTGTTGTTATTCAGATCACCAGAATGATCCAAAACTTCCTATTGCCACCAACAAAAATTTCTGGCACTGAGCAATAATCAGGAAAACACAGAACAGCTTGCTGAGTCACACTCAAAACTTAAATATTGTTGAGTCTCTCGCAATAGGCAGATATTAAGATATTGATCCCAGTTTATATCTTTCTATGGTGCTTACACCAAAGGAACTGACTACAGGACTGTGTCGTATGCATACATTCTGCCAGGTTTCAGGTGTGCACATGGGAGACTCCCCTTTCTGGCAGGAGTGACAGCTCAGAATCCAAAGATGAGACTGTTCTGGAAATGCTCCAAACTCCAGCTGCATTTCAAGGTCCTGAGACTCCACAGAAACCAGCTATGGGGGAGAATGGCTCAAGGGAAGATGAACAGACCAGTCAACCAGCCAATGGGTACAGGGAAGAGTTGCAGCCGAAGGGAGAAGACACTGAAATGGGTAGTTTTTCTGATGGGGAATTCCCACCTCCTGAAGAGGTAGCCCCAGTCAGTAGATATCATCCTTGGAAAGAGGTCCACAATTAGGGGCATAACAGGAGGAGCAAAGGCATGCATGCTTTCACAGCACTCTTTCCTCAGGGGCAAGATGTAGAAGGGTTCACAAAGAGATTTTCAGGCGAGCAGCAGAAAGGGTTCAACACTTTACTTTGGGCATGTTTGGAGACCCCAGTGTAACAATAAAGATTTTTGGCAAAGGAATGTTGCTGAGGCCGAAATTGCTTAGAGGGAGAAGGACAGCTCATGACAGACTGCAGCCACAGAAAAATTACGCCTCCATGTTCAGAAAAAGTTTGCTTCTCAATCTTAGTACTTGACAGCACACAATAGAAGGCTAACACCTTCATTCCCTGCCTGTGTGACCCAGAGGCTTTTTTGGCTGGCCACTCTGGAATGCTGGACCAGGTGGACCATGGACTTGGACTAGCATGGAATTTGTTGCGTTCTTATGAGCTCTAGCAGAATGGATGCTGCCACCTCTTCACAAAATGCCCTTGTCTGGTCACAAGATCATTGCTGTAGCCACCTGGTGACAAAATCTATTGCAGCAAAAAGCCACAGCTGCAATCCCTGCTACATGACTATTCAGATACTTAAGACTGTTTCCTAGGAGGCTAGAGCTACGTGCATGTTGAAAGGCAGAAGGCATTTGCTTTCAAAGGGCATTAGGAAAAGAAGTAGAAAAGCATGGCAGGCTAGCAATTTGTCCAGTACCCCGTGGAGTGTATCAAGCCTGCCCCACTTCTGCAGGTGTCAGGGAAGACCTCTGGGGAAGAGCAGGAGGAGGTGCTTGCAACATTTCTCTCCCGTGACAATCTGACTGGTCCCAAAGCAGAGATACTCATGTGAACAGCTGTACTTTTGAGGAGGAAAACCCAGTTGGGTTTAAACATGAGAGAAATGCAGCTGCAGCTGGGGGATTGGGACAGCCAGCATCATAAGCTTTCCATTTCCTCTAGACCATTTCTGGGTTAACGTCTCCCACAAAGGATGGACACAGGACACCAGTGGAAAGACCAATAGGCTTATTCCCATCAGTTGTTCAAGAAGAGCTTCCACCTAGAATGTAATGTTGGCTCAGGACAGAACTAGTCACTGATATAATTGGGCTTAGATTCCGTATCCTGCTTCATATAGTGGGTTGTCTCTAGTATTGCTGAGATAACACCCACAGCAAAGACATCAGGACATGGGATATGCTGCATTACCCATTAACAGGTAAGGGGGCTTGACACAGAGCTGCCATTTTGTGAAGTAGCCTTGAGGTCTTCCCCATTTCCTGCTTTAAAGCAAAAATACAGAAACCACATGTGTATACAGGGACAGCCAATAAGAGCCCAAGGACAGGATACCCTCATAGGCTTGGAAATGATGTTGCTCTATCTAGTTTCACAGGTCCTTGAACCTGTGCTTGCATTTATAGCCTGCCTGGAATGTAACTTCCAGTTCCTTAACCTGTTCTGTCTCTGTCTCATATGTCTGCCTTCAGTTTTTACCTGATTGTGCTTTGAGGCAAGCTCTGATTTCTCCTCAGTTTGCAACCCTAAACACCCATGAGGAATGACTGAATCCCAAAACAGCAGTTCAGGCTAGTTAGATATTCCTGCTCTTCTCAAGCTTACCTCTTTGCACCCTGGGTTATCAAGGAGTTCTATGCTGCTGGCATGGAGAGGCTGCCCTGCATTGACCGGCATTAGGACAACTTTGTCTCCCACCACGATCTGGAGAACAGAAGTTATAAAAGGAGTTATAAATGTACTTAAGTTATGCTTCCTGTCACAATACTGACATTTAGTTTCTGCTTCTTGTTTTCATTTTTAAAGACACTCCCAGCTCAGTATAATTGTCAATGCTGAAATCTCTGCCTTCATTTCTAATTAAGTACAACAAATTCAAAGAGCTCTGGAACATGAAAGCCATCATGCTGAAGAAATTCTTACTCTCTTCTGTCTGGAATGAGTCCTGCATGTTAAATGCTTGGTCCTTTCATCTTAACTATCTAAACCAAAAGCTCCTTCTGTCTACCTACAGGAAACAGCAATTGCCTCAGAATCTGAGAAAATAAGAGTACATCAAGAAATTAAAATAGTTCATATTTTAAACTGAAGCTCAATCCAGACAAGACGGAGGTCCTGTTGGTTGGCGGATCGGGCTTAGGAGAGGGTGAATTGAACCTAGTCCTGAATGGGGTTGCACTCCCTCTTAGGGACAAGGTCCGCAGCTTGGGAGTGCTCCTCGACCCAGAGCTTTCACTGGAAGCTCAGGTGACGGCAGTGGCGAGGAGCGCTTTCCTTCAGCTTCGGCTGATTCCTCAGCTGTGCCCGTACCTGGAGTACAACTGCCTGGTGACAGTGACACACGCGTTGGTGACTTCCTGTCTTGACTTCTGTAACGCGCTCTACGTGGGGCTACCCTTGAAGACGGTCCGGATACTTCAATTGGTTCAAAATAGAGCTGCCAGGCTGCTGACGGGGACTGGGCGGTATGTCCACATGACTCCAGTCCTCCGTCAGCTTCACTGGCTTCCCATTGAAGTCCGGGCCCAATTCAAGGTGTTGGTGATGACCTATAAAGCCCTAAACGGCTTGGGTCCTGGCTACCTGAAGGAGCGCTTACATCCATATACACCCGCCCGCCCCCTGAGATCTGCGGGAGAGGCCCTTCTCCAGGAACCCTCTGTGAAGGAAATTAGGAGGCTGAGTACTCGGAGGTGGGCTTTCTCTGCGGTGGCGCCCAATCTATGGAATGCGCTCCCCAGAGAGGTCCGCCTGGCGCCGTCGTTATTTGTTTTTCGGCGCCAGGCAAAGACCTTTTTATTCAAAAGTCATTTTAAATGCTAATATTACTTCCTTATTTTATTCTTTGGCCAGGGCGACTTATTTTATATTGTAAATTCATTTTATATTTTTAATGTATTATATTTTAATGTTTTGTGAGCCGCCCCGAGGCTTCAGCAAATGGGGTGGCATAGAAATTTTCTAAATAAATAAATAAATAAATAAATAAATATAAATAGCCTCACATGAGTGCTGATCTGTAATAGAGGAAAATTTCCATACATCCAAGTCTTATTTTAAAAAAAATAACTCAAAACTTTTAAAAATATTCCAAGATTTTTTCTGCAACCACCTGCACATTCAGTTTTGTTTTGTTTTTTGTTTTGGTTTTGGTTACTGTGAAATCCAAATCATTCTGCATAATGGCAGCTATCAAGCAAGGCAATTTCCCTCAGGTATTTCTGGGGGGACACAACTTAATACAATCATCCCAAATTGCTACTGCTTTCAGATGATCTGGACTGGCTCATATGTTACAGATTCCTGTGGTTAACTATCTGATATCATTTCACCGGACCTTAGATCTTTGTATCTTTTAGACTACTGCTTAATCTGTTCTGGCACTGATATGATTTACTCCATTTGTTTTTATTGCACTGATTGCATTTTTTTTACTGCTGTTAAATCTTTGTTGGCTGCACTGACATCTCTTTGGCCGAAGAGCAGGATAAAAACCTTCCAAATAAACAAACAACTATATGCACCGTTGTGGTAATTTTCCCATTGCTTCTTTACCTCTTTGTTGGCAGTGAATAAAGAAGAACTGGTTTTAGGAAAATTGACCTCTAATATTCCCTTTCATTTAAAATCCATGGAGAGAATGTGTATTGCATGAATTCATCAAAAGCAAGAAAGGAGATGACTCGATGCACAACTCAGTAAGCTTTAGCAAAATCTGATCTGATTGCAAAAGTGCCAGTAACTTCTACAGCAACGTGACCGTATGTCCAGCACAGAAAGCAATCACATACATACAAACACGTCAGAACCACAAAGCAACTAATAAAAACCGTGAATGCAGTGAACGCTCATGCTTTCCTTGGAATACATGCACATAATGTTGCCATTTGCCACAATTCCCAGCAGTTTAAATATAAACAAAATTCATCCTCCAGAAAAGCTGGTCTTGGGATACAGACTGACTAAATCGGGGTGCTGAACTTTTTCCAGACCAGGGACAAAATTGCACTTAGGAAAAGCTCTTGGGGGGCACATTCCAGGAAGGCGGGGGGGGGGGGGCAAAGACAAAATAAGGTTGGACCAAAGGCAATAAATAAAGGCAATAAAGTGATAGAGGCAAAGTTAAGGCTTTTACTGCTAATAAAGGAAAATCATTGCACAAAAGCCAGGAAACCACCAAACAATTTGTGGACAGGGAATTAAATGTCCACAAAGGGAATAGCTCTCTGGAATCCCCAAAGGGCTAGATTTGGTCCTGAGGTTCTGCAGCTTTGCAGTAAATACTGCCCACCCATTGTCTACTGTTTGTGGTCAAATATTGCCAAGTATGCCATTGTGTATGAAAGTGGCAGATGACTTTTTACTTAAATAATGGAATCATGTGATAAATAATAGCAAAAGTGAAGGCTAAGCCCTGCAAAGGCACACACAGCACTGTCCTGCAAATTGACTCCATCCTGAGACCCTTTGCCCTGCTTCCTCATATGTCATACAGCCTAGCTTCTTCTATTGGGCAAGTGCAGCTGTTGCTGGCTGTTCTGCACAGAGAAAGGGACAGGTTTCGAAGGGACTACCATGCAAACATGCACAAGTCATCTTTACAGCAGCAAGGCCAGAACCCAGAACTACCACAAATGCTATAGGAAGCAGGAATCTTCCTCTGATTCAGGAGGCGGCTCTGTAAGAGTTCTGGGAGAGATCAGGCTCTCGTGTTGCTAGGCTGTAATAAGTTTTTAATTAGCATAAGTCTCTCATTAATTTGTGTGTTAGATGCCTGACCTGTACTTGACAATATTTGACCTATTAACTGACCAGGAGTAGGGATGGGGAGTCAAGCCTAACCTCAACATGAAAGATTTGGATTCATCATTTTCTTCAGAACTTATTTCTGCAAAGCTTGAAATAAAAAAGTAACCAGGCATGAAATCTTCATGCTCATCATATTTCTTCACATACTCCATGTGTATTTGTTCAAAAACCATGCAATTCACAACAAGAATGTGGCCTTCCTCTTGCTTAAGGCAATATATGGCTCTGCATGCCATGCTGCACAAAATTTTTACTTACAGCCATGTAAGGTCAGATAAAGCGATATACAAAGCAAACCTGCAGAATTCAATCAGTAATTTAATTCGCTGATAGGAGAAATCAATCATATAATAATAATCCTCAGTATGAAATAAGGTCCAATGCCTGTAGTCAGCAACTAACAAACCCATGACTGAATCCAATCAAGAGAAGGACAGTCATCTCATTACTTAAGGCCTCATGTCCTAAAGCTATAGCTGCCTAACATTTGCATAGAACTAAAGTCATTGTGTCAATATGAGGCCTGCTTCCTGGACAACTTAGGATCCTAACTTGTCAGTTTTATAATTCTGGAGGACACAAGGCATGTGTACAGCCCACCTTCAACCTACATGCAGTCATCCTGTGGTTTAGAGGGAACCTGAGGAAGGAAATGAGTGGTTTCCTAGCAACCACCATGCTCCTGGAGACCAGCTCCCATCTTTGGGCGATGAGGAAATAGGAGGAGGAGGCTTGGCCTGCAAAACTGGCCCTGGTCATCTCCACTGCCCCGGGAGACCTAGGGCTTTGGCAGCTCCTCTCCAACCTGATGAAGCTGAGCTGCTGTTCTCAGATTCACAGGGCTCCAGCCCACAGTCCCTCTCCAGTCTGCACAATGGCTACTGAAGGAGGCTAGGCCCTTTAACTGACAGGGCTTCACTCACTGGGAGCAAATCATTGTCACTAAGACAGCACTGCTGATCTATTTGAGGTTGAGTCTGGGCTTGCTTGTCACAGAAGCAACATTTGATTATACCACCCTGAGCATCCTTTGGAAATATCGTACATTGTCAGGATTTTGTTTAACCAGAACATGACCTCTGCTTTGCTCCAGAACCTGAACTGCCTTGGCTTTGCCTTGCTTCCCTCCCCAGAACTTGAATTTGTGCCTAGTGCCCTCTTCTCAGCTCAGATTAGAAACCCCTTTGGTCTGAGCACACCATTTGGAAGAGAACCACAATGGGCCATGCAGTTTGCCCTTCTTTGTTGCCCAGCTCCTTTAAGTATGATTTGTACTCTACATTTGGCTTCCTGAACAGTGTCCCAAAGTCTGCTGCATCACTTCTTAAGTACATTGCATAGTGAGTGGGGCACAATCGTGCAATAAAATGTACAAAAGTGCAATTAGACGTCTGATCCTAGAAAGGGAGGTGACAACCATATCTATTCTAACAGCCGCTATTCTTCCAGAAACATATTTCATCCACTCACATTGTCACCTTCACTCCTCAGTTTCCAAAAGGGTTGGATGTAAAACCAGGATCCTTCATTCCCAGCAGCATCCAGAGAAACCCGCATAGCGTTCTTCTCCAACAGAGCTGGTAATCTCTTATTGACTGTAAGGTATTTATTGCTTTTGATGTGAAGTAGCTGTGAATAAGGAAAACAAACAAGCAAATGCATACATGTATCCATATATACATCAGTACTGTTGAGTGTTTTGCCCATGATCCAACAGAGGGAGATGCCCTTTTGCCTCATAATGAAACTATGTGCTACCTTCCCACAACTGAAAAAGCTGAGAAGGTTGTCAAATACCTGGCTGTATTCAATACAGACTTTCAGTTTAGTTGGTCACAATTTGGGTGGTGCTAACTCTTGCTACAATATGGTGCCACAGTCAAGCAAACAATGCCAGCATAGGATAATTTCGAATATTCCAAAAATAACAACATCAGAACAGTTTAATAACTAAGATGGTTTAACAATCTGCTCTGTGACAAATCATTGCAACTGGGAATACTTTCATTTACCTGACATCAACCCCAATGTGAAATTTTATACAACTTAAAGTACAACATATTGTTCTGTAATCACAAAGCAGAATCCTGGTGAGATGGTAACTGCAGGGCAGAATTACCACCAGGTGCCTTCCATCTGAATTTCTACAGGAGACAAGATAAGAGAGATGATCAAAGGCAGGATAAGAAGAAGAAATGGGGAATATGTCAAAGAGTTTAGTTGGTCACAATTTGGGACAATGAAGCTTCACCTGAAGGGTAAAGGAAACTAGTACCTGCTGAAATACTCCTGCACTGTTATTAAAGGCCCCTGAACTCTGTCTTGCTCCTTTGCCTCTAGGCTATGCAATCATAGCTCATGCTCACCAATTATACACACTTCACAAACTCTGTTCTGGAATTCCTGCTGAGGAGCTGAACCAGAACAGATTGGTACACCATGCAATATATCATCATTTCACTTTCCAAGCCACTGGGGACACTGAACATCCGTTTTCCTTGTGCTTCTGGAGATCTTGCTTTCAAAAGCTCACCTGGATGACATTGCTGTACTTCACAATTTCACCCAGCAATTTTCTGTTCTCACATTCATTCTGCTTTTGTTCCAGTTCCGCTGCATGCTGCAAGAAAATCATTGAGGGGAGTCAGGCTAAAGGGTGGCTGTTTCCAAACCCAATTTTTATGGGCAGGGTCATCACCCTGTCTCATTCACAGCATTTTATTGCAAGGGCAGCAGGGAGGGCAGTGCAGGCATCCCCCCCCCCCCGCCCCAAGAACATTTTCAACTTTTCCCACTGCTTCTTTCATCTTTTTCTTTACTGCAGAAAATCTCTTAAGGGGGAAAAGTTGGAATTGCTGCCTGGTGCCTTTTGATTTGTGGCACTAGAAACTTACAGTCTGAATGCATTCTAAACCAAATGTTTCAAGTTTAGAGTGAGCAGACAGTAGTACTGCAGAAGGTAGATATGGACCTACTGGTGGATCTATGAGTGACGTGCAGTAAACTGACAAGGATTTCTGACTCATGGTTGTTTAACAACAGCAGCAGCAAAATGGCTCCCCAATTGCTGAACATGAAGAATGCTTGAGAAAATCAGGAATGGAAGTTCTGTGTACACCATTCAGTTCTGATTCCCAAAATAAATTCCTTGTTCCAGAATTCTTGAATTCTAAGTTTATGCCCTTTGTACTGATCTTTGATCAATGGTTCTTGAGGATATAATAAAATAGATTCCACAAGTCTGCTTAATCTCTGAATTAACCTCTAGAATCCAAAACATTTAGGATGGAATGAAGTTCAAATCACCTTTTGTAATTTCACCCCTAAAAAGCAAAAGAAATGGCCCAACATACAAAATACGTATATTAATAATGCTTCATAAAGTTCACACACTGGCCTGAATGTTGTAATCAGTTTATAGGAATGATTATGTTTATTTGAAAAAAAACAATTTAAAATATTTTGAATCAATAAAAAAACTGTAATTCACCTAGATAACTTTGGCTATGGGGCAGATTAAAAATATAATAAATACTGAATACTCAATATGTATTCACTTTGAAAGCCCATTGATTTCAGTTGAAATTATGCCCATTTTAAGACAGCTTGCTTAAGATAACTTCCTTATCATTTCTAAGATCCTTTCCAGTTTACAAGAGGACAGAACTACATTTATAGCATAGCATCTCCCAGCTAGATTCCACATTAGCAGACTTTTTGCCTGGCCTATTAACCTTCTCGACTGTTACTTAGTGTTTTTCATCTAAACACAATGAGGCAAAAGCAAGACAACACATAGAGCAAATTGGACAGGTTTTCAAAAGGGCACTTTTACAATGTTTATCACTTTACAACATTGTAAAGTAATACGATGCAAACTTGACAACAAAAACAAAATAAAACAGAAAAGGTAGAAACAGAAGCCAACAACAGCAAATAACATGAGCATATAGAATCTAATTTAGAGGACCAGACTGTAGGCAACAAGAAAGTCTTTCTGGCAAGGGCTTTCCACAACCATTTGCTACCAGAGAAAAGGCCCTGAGAAGGCCCTCTGCCTCCCCTCATTTGGCAGGCGCTCCCCCAGGAGGGCCTCAGGAGATGATCTTAGGGCGGGGATACATTGGGCATTGTAGGTTTTTCTGTCTCAACATGCGTTGTTTGCGCCTTTAAAGTCTGAGTAAGAATACTTAAGAGAAGTCCCTTCAGGTTGCCTGGATCCAAGCGGTTTAAAGGCTTGAAGGGTTAACACCACTTTGGAATGGTCCTAGAAATGGATTAGAATCCAGTGCAGACATCAAAGTGCTGGCATAAAACGATCATTTTAGCTAATTCCAATTAACACTCTTCTGCCCAATTTTGCCGTGAAGATTTCAGACCATTTTCAGAAGAAGCCTCACATTGCAATCAGTAACTCAGGAGTTTACCAGGGAACGGATCACTGTGCCCAGATAGGAAAGTGGCCTGAGGGCAGACTGAGACTACTTGTGCCTCCAGTGGCAGTGCTGGAACAGGTATCTTTGACCTTTTAGTTTCTATCAGGATTCTTTTTTTAATGGCCCTGAATACTCCTGGCTGGAATGGAATAGCAAGGAGCTTTCAGTCTCAAAATCAGTGATCAGTGATTTTTTTTTAAAGTCCATATAATCTTTAAGGGAAGAAAGGAATCATTTATTGTGAGTGATGTCACAAAGATGCAGACAGGAGCTCATGAAGCTAATACAGCTGTATTCTGCACTCAGCTGTGAGACCAAAGAACATGCTAACGAGAAGGGGGGGAAATAAATTCTCCCTAGAACCAAAGCACTGGCATTTGAGTCATGCAATGGATTTGCTCACAGGGAAAAATTAATGTGGGTCTCATTGTAACAGCTGTGTGCCAGTGTACAAAGCAATGAGAAAAGAGTATGTCTGTCAGCCTCCTACTTGTAGCTTCTTCAGCAGCGCTGCTTCGGTGTGGTTCCCTTGTTTTGCTTGCTTGGCTTTCCAGTATTGCTTTTGTGCAGAATATCGGTTCATGGGACACACTTTGAAAAGGCAATCTGAAGAAAAAGAAATATACCCACAGATAAAGTAACCAGTACCAAAAGATGTATCTATTCGTTTGTCTGTGTAGTGATTCACTATGAGAAGCAGAAACATTCAATTATACCAAAGTTCAATAATGGTTCCACAGTCACAAATTGCCTGCACATTCTATGTCCCCTGTATCAGTAAGGTCTTTACTTCTCCTCTAAACTATATGGCAATTGTTTTCTAGCTTGAGGAGATTCTTTTCCCATCAGCCTTTCTCCCTGCATGTGGCAGTAAGGATTCTGGGAATGTTCCATGAAACACACTCTATTCAGATGGCTGCTGGGCAGTCCAATGCTATCCAAGAACTGAGAATGTAGATTCCCCTTCCAATCCCCTTACAGCTATGGTGCACATTGCCGGAGCAGATCAGAAGCTCCAGGTAAGTTCTCTTTTCCGTCCACCCCTCCCACTTTAGAACCCCCTGCAAGGATTCTGGGACTCCTCAACAACACAGTTGGGAAGCTACAGCTTTATGGAATGCTTCAGGCAGCCATGTGCCATATTACATGTTTGTCTTATCCAAACTTCCATGTAATTTGAAATAGTTTCATTCAGAAACTCTCCAAAACAAGGGACCTACTTTCTGTTCTTCTTTTCCCTTTGCATTGCTATGGTAAAATATAGAGGATAAAGCAGTTGCAACATTTCTGAACTGTTCACACTGCATTCCAATCTGCTAGTCCTTTCTGATCTTCCTGTCCCCACTAAGGTCACTTAATATAGCATAACTAACATCGAAGTAACAAGACAGCTGCTTCAGCATCTATGTGCCCACAATATCACTATTGGAAAGTTTCAAACTTCAAGATGAAAATCAAGACGCAAAAGAATGCATTGTGTCAGGTTGCAGCATAATGCCTTGAACTATACTCAAAAACAGATTTTGGCACGGGGCATACAATTCAACTTCCTGCAAAGCACAGCTTTCATTTAAAATGTGTGTGGGCCTTATCTGTTAAAATGTCAGAAGCCAGAGGGAAGGATGAAGATTTCCAGCAGCTGCAAGTTTATTTGTTTGTTTTAACTACATTTTACTTGCTTGTGTTGATAAATGCCTTTAATTAGATCCTTGAATGGATCAGGATGAAAATTGTAATTAATACATAGGCCAGCTGATATTGAAGAACAGCAGCAAAGAAATTTGTTGCCGAACTCTTCTCCCTTTATTAATACTTATTATTGGAAGGATGGATGGATGGCTGAATAGACAGAGTATTTCTATAGCCCATGCTTCATCATAAAATTATCCCAGGGTAATTATAACATACAATTTAGTATCATTATCAAATAAAATAATGTCAAGAAAATCAAAATAAAATAGTACAGCAATGAATATGGCAGTAATTCAAACCAGCACATTATAAATTAACGCCTAAAGGTATTATTATGTACACTGCATTTTATGTTGTAATTTTATTCCTTTATGAGTTACTTTTATTAAACAGAGTTTTCAAATGTTAGAGTGAGAATTAAATGCCTTTTTGAAAAGCATATAAAGCAAATAAATGCAAGGGTAATTATCAGCCTCTTTAAGCTGCATTCTTACCACTTAACTTGGGATTGAGCCCGAATGAATTAAATGGTACTTTCCTCTGATAAAACATATATAGGTTGCATTATTAATGTCTTAACTGCCAGAAACCTTTGGAAGCAATTTAAACACCCTAATTCTATGCACCATTTCTATCTCAATTTTCTTAGAGTTTTTCTATACTAGGATGTGAATCTACTGTATCTGCTTTCAGTTGCATCACAAAACTGAGATCTAAGCACTACATGAAGTTGGCACCCTGTCTGGCTCTTCTGCAGCCTCACCTCTAGGTGGCAATACAGTATAATAGTGCAATTACACAAACATAAAAAACATTTTCTTTGACTTCACAATTAAATACTGCACTCTTTTAAAAAAAATCTCATCAAAGTTCTTTTTAGACACAGGAGTGAAACTGGAGGGTAAATATGCCATCTAAGGAACTTATAAACAACCATGAGTAGGGAATGACAAAGTCACAATAAATGCAATATGTAGAAAGTGCTAACTTTGGTGCAAACACAAGGTTGCACTACATAGAATATATGATTTTAAATTTACATTGGAGGCTGTCCTATGGGTTCAGGACAACTAATTAAACCTATTTGGTTTCTCCTTCTCCACCCTATTATCCTGAACCTATTATCTTGCACAGATCCATTCTTTTAACCAATAAAACAATATCAGCAACCTATCACTCATTTGAGTAAGTCCATGGAAGCAATCAGGATGGACTGAATCAAATATGCAAGCCAAACAACTTCCTGCAGTGCCAAATTTCCAGGTATGCCTGCCACAGTTATGCAAATAGTTTGAAGGAAGACCAACTACTTATGTTTTTGAGAGGCAGTGTACAGAAGCAGCTTAGCCATTCCTTACTCAGGCTGATTCTGTTGGCCCAGCCAACATAATTGAGAACCTTTTGTACTTCATTGTAAAGAGAAAGTAAAGAATAATGATGGATCAATCCGTCTATTTTACTTTATCTGCTTGCATCTTTTTTAAAGGACAACTTTGTTACATCTCACTTCTGCAGTTTGCAAATAATAATCATCATATGGATCATACATGTTTCCATGCACTATCCATTTGCATAATTTGGTTAGAGGAAGGAGAAAAGCATCACAAAATTTGGGTGATAACTGCATTCCAGTTGAGGAAGTACAAACTTGGTTTTAAAAACTTGTATTTAAAAACTGCTTTTATTTCTCCTTTTCTCTTTAACCCCAAACAACAGATCCTTCTTCCACATGCAAGAATTCCATAAAAAGAGGAAGAAAGTAAGTTTGCTGACAAAAATAGCTGGTGGGTTGCTGTTGATATGTCTCCAAACTCCTCTTTGTTTTGCTACCTATTCACTGTTCACAGCAGCCACGCTTTACAAAAAAAGTAATCAAGCATTAGCAAATCAAACCTCAACTACCATGCAACAGTATTTGCTTTTGGCATAAAATGTAAATATGTACAATAACAACCAAAAAACCACTTTACATAAAGAGGTGTAGAACTTAGCAGAACTGTTACAAAATGCTAATATGCTGAACATCTGAGTCCTTCCAAGTCTTACATGTGTTACATTAAAGCATCTCTTGAAGTGACCGTACAAATTCATGCTGTCCAACTAATTGGTATAGCCAGTGTTTTCCTAAGGACAGGGAAAATTTGAACCCATGGCTTCCAGAGACTAGAACTGAAGCCCTCCCTAGTAATTAAGTCTTTCCAACAGATTCCTAGTACATGTTTTCCTAAGTTATCCCTGGATTCTTAAGATATGCAATTTATATCTATAAAAATAAGTACCCAACTTTAAAGACACAGTTTTAAACATTTTGAAATCCAGAAACCTGAGGGAGCAAATGGCTGGGATGTTTCAGGATGAAAGGAGTACAATATTTAGGATGCAAGGAAAGAAAAGGTTGTAAAAGTCGTTTACTTTACAGCTGGTGTGAATTGTAAGACCGTCATCTTTTAAAACATGCATAGGCTAGCACCATTCTTGAACAAAAGGATACCAAATGCAACAGACGGCTTAAAACCCATGCTGCCTACTTCTGCTTTCACTTCACCCCGACAAAGTCCAAAATACTGAGGTGAATCACAAGCACAAAGAAATACTTGGTGGCCTGAGTTTTTACTTACACCTTCAGGTACACAGAGGGGAGAAAGAAAGGAAATAAGTAATTGAGATTCCTTATCATAAACCAAACTTAGAGCCACAGTTATGCATACAAGCTTTGTTTGTGCACAGCAAGGGCATTTTCCCAAAGAACACACCTGCACACTTCAGCCTATACACAAAAGAGATTCTGAGTGTTAGATTCTAGTACAAGCATTTTCATTTTAATGCCAAAAGAGAACATTGAGGCAGAGGTTTAGCTAAAGGGTAAGAAGACTAGAACAATTAATACAAGGAAGGAAACAAGATAGCCAAAGGAAAGCATTCCCTCATCGCTTTCTCATGCCTTGACATTCAACTGTGCTGAAGTCAAATAGTTAACCTCAGTTGGTAAGTCAGAATTTGAGTTCCCTACAGCAGGGATGGGAACTTCTTACAGTTCATGGACCAAATACACTTCTGAAGATGGTTTCAAGAGCCAAGGTCTAGTGGTGGATGGGGCCAGAGGCACAAAGCTACAGAGCTGAATAATTTCAGCATATTTTAGCTTCAGGCCCTTGCTGCCAGTAACTTTGCCTTAAGAAAGGCATTTGAGTGTAAATCCAGTGCAAAAGTTGGGAAACCACCAAATGAAGAGTCTACTTGGCAAGAGCCAAGTTCAGCTCTGCAGTAACTACATACAGATGTGCTTTAGTAGCATGTATGTATGTATGTAGTATTTATTTAAATTTCTATATCGCCCAATAGCCAACATTAAAATCTTAAAGTGCAGCATGATAAAACATAATATAAATGCTTTGAAATTATAAAACAGTGTAAAATCCAGCAGAAGGACAGGCAAAGCAAATTAACACATTTAAAATCAGTGGTTAGAATGCAGGATTGGAATCAGGATATCCAGGTTCTAATTCCCACTTGGCTATTAAGCTCACTGGGAGACTTTGGGCCAGTCACTGCCTTTTGGCCTAACCTCCTTCACAGGGTTGATGTGACAAAAATGGAGATCAACAGGAGGAAAAATTCCTTTCAGGAAAAGGCAAAATAGTGATAATGATACCAAAACTGAAGGACCAAAAGTCCTGGGAATATATAAAAGGTTTCATCAGACACTGAAACAACTACAATGTAGGGTAGGCTTCTCTGGGGAATTCATTCCACAACTGGGATGCCATTCCTAAAAAGGCCTTCTCCTTAGAGGCCATGCATGTCACATCCTTTGGTACCCACAACATATAGTCTAAACACATCAATATTATTATAAAATTGTATTTTTAGAGACACACATGCAACACTTGCCTGCACTGCAGCAGTCTCCTGATACACTCAGCTCCCTATGGCACTTGCCAACATGGAAGAAAGGCCTCCCCCCACCCCCTCAGTTAACTATGGTGTTGTTAATATTGACTTTAATGTTTATCTTTATGTTGCAGCAATTATTATGTATGTAAATTATATTTTGATGAATATCACAATGCATTTTAATGTATTTAATTCTCCTAGTAAACCACGTAGAAATGTTTTTAAACTATGGCAAATGCTATAAATTCATTAAATAAATAACATATAAAGAGACTGACTACTCTTTCTTTATTGATTTAAAACCTGCCTTTCTACTGAAACTTGTCAGTCAAGGTGACTTTCCAAAACTTTAAAAAATACATCAAAACAGTAAAACACGTTAAAATACAACTAAAGCATAACAATTAAGAGAATAGAACAGCATTCAGACCAACAGGCCCATTTCCATGCCATAAAGGCAATCTATGCTTGCTGGTGAAAGCGGTGCAAAGTGGGGGCAAACCTATCCTCCCTTGCTAAGGAGTTCTGCTGCATGGGAGCAGCCAGAAAAAGTGTCCCCCCTCCCCAGCACCCTGCCACCAAGCAAACCTCAGGTGGCAGCACTTTCAGGAAAAGGTCTGTCCTGAGGTCCATAAGGACAAGGCCTTCTCTCAGGGTAGCCTGGTCCCAAACCATCTAGGGCTTTCTAAGTCATAATCAGCCCTCTGAATTCTGCCTGGAAACAGACCAGCAGACAGTGAAACTGTTATAAGGAGGGAACAGCTTCCTCCTAACTACCCTGATAGTCTGGCCAGAGCCGTTGGAAGCTCCTCAGCAGCCTTCTAGAAGCGCAATTTCAAAAATATCTGGCAGCAGTCTGGCATGCCAACTAGACTGGTGACACTCAGATTACCTGCTGCACCGCCTCTGAATCTCATCTTCTGCCTGCCCTGGGATTCATTTTCAGTTCGAGATAGGACTGTAGAAGAGGATTATTAGCCTAGGGACCAACCGTGAGGTATTTGAATAATATGTAAATAATGTGAGTTCAATATATGTGGCTGTCGAGCCCGATACAAAAATTTGGCTGACATGAAGAGCCCCATGGACAGAAGAGGCTAGCCACTTCACAAAGTCATCCTTCGCCTGGACAGCATGACATGAGTGGCAACGGAGGGAGCATGGCTAGCACACTCCCTCTCTTTGCATGCTTAAACCGTGATTTTAAACTCTGAACAGGGCATATGTATAGCTTGTCAGTGTATGATGGTGAAATGTGACAAAGCTAGTTTAGCCAGGAACCAGGTTTCAAAATATATAAAAAGAGGATCGATAGGGACAAAAATATATTCAGTTTGTAGTTGGTCATATCAGTTTGTAGTTGGTTTGTAGTTGGTCATTAACTCTCAGTTCCTCACCTCTGAATTTCTTAGGAGGATTGCAAAGGTCGCCTGCCTCTGGTTGAACCACACATCTGTCATCCACTAGCCTGAAAGGGAAAAAAAAGCATTCTGTAAAACTGTCATGATTTTTTTCCCTATTATTGCTCTCATTGAGTGAAGTCAAAATAGCCAGACTACTATGCACTGGAATTTTGTCTCAAGTCAGGACACAAACATTTATCTGGCACGACAAAGAAAGAAGTATTTTCTTCAAATCAATTTACTGAGAGACAGTTCTGCCTAGATATTGCATGGCAAATAAGTTTACCTTTCAACTGTAGAATAAATTTTGGCAAGCTTAGAAACCTTTCATAGCTTTATTCTTTCTCTAGATTTCAAAGAGACAATGCTACATTGTGAAACAAACTGCACAAGGCACAATGTGATTTAGGCGGTGGTTCTGCACGTCGGCTACCTATTTTACTTGCCAAACAAAGAGAATTTTATAAGCCAGTGGTTTTGTATATTTCAGTTTCCTTAGGCAGCATAGAAACAGTACAGTTCACAAACAAATACAGTGAAACACTTGTAATTAAACCAATTTAATGCTGTTGTATTAATACAGGTGTACAGAAGAATAATACATTGGCTGCAATCACAAATAAAGTTAAGCCAGGATTTAGTGATATACACATGACCCTCCACGAACCTGAATGAAATCTTGGGATCAAACATCCACTCCTCTTTCTACCACCCACATGGCCAAGAGGACTCCTGCTGAGTTTAGTTTCACATTTCTAAACTCTAGGCATACAGTTATGTATGAATCATGACTCAGAACAAACACTAGTTAAACAAGCCAGCAAAATAAATTGGGGATTGTTTGATGGTTGACTACAGTTTGTTTTAAATTAGGGTTTCTGGTTCACATATGTAAAGGCTACCTGGGAATTGGGGTCAAGTGAAACTAAACTCCACAAGAGTCTTTGATGGTGGGGAGGCAACATGGAGCACAGGTACAGAAAGCATTGCTCAAATTTACAGAAACTCATACACCCGTCAATAAATCTCATGCCTTACATGCAAACGGATTATCTAAAATCCAGATGATCTGGCTTAGGCTGTGGAGAAGAGCAGGAAACAAAAAATGCAATTCAATTAACTTCCCACAATGTCTCACCTGAAAAGGTCTTCAGGTATCATACATTCCTGATTATCTAAGTGCATTATCTGTGTGTACTCCATCTTGCCCTGGGAACACTACAGCCTCAGATTATTGTAATACAATACAATATGGAATATAAAGCCTTTGTGACTATCAAAGGTACATTTAAATAAAACCAACATATAAACTGCAAGAGAAAATACAGTGGTACCTCAGTTCACGAACACCTCAGTTCATGACAAAATTGGGTTGCAAACAAAAATTTCATAAAAATGTTGATTCAGGTCACGAACTCCACATTGGGTGGTGACCACAATCACAATCATCTCCCCACCCCGAGTGGGAAGATGTCCACAATCGTGCTGGGGGCGGGGGGGGGGATATGGCCGAGAGTGCGCCCTTCTTTCCTGCATGAGCGTGCCCGTGATTGCGCCCAGCTTTCCTGCATGAGTGCAACCGCAATCTTAGCCATCTCCGCCCCCCCCACCAGCACGATCGCACCCATCTCTCCCCCCCAGTGTGCACGCAATTGCACCCATCTCCCCCCCCCCCGAGTGCACCAGGATGATGGGTGCATGTAGGTATTATGGATGCAGGTCCTGCTGGGGGGGCAGGGAGATGGCCGCGCTCGTGCTCGGGGGGGGGGAGGAGATGGTCTCGATCTTTGTTTTTCTTTGTCACTTTGCTTCACATTTTTCTGATTTAAAAAAAAAAATAGTTACAGAACGGATTAACCTTATTTACACTGAACCTTATGGGGAAATTTAACTTGGCTCATGACCAATTTGGGTCATGACCAGAGTCCTTGAATGGATTAAGTTTGTAAGCCAAGGTACCAGTGTGTCAAATAAAGTAAAAGCAAGGAAATTGATAAAGCTATTCAGCCCATTCAGGCCACAATCCAACATGGGCTGCAACCTTATATACATTTTCTGGAACTGAAAAGCAATGACTTTAACAGGGCCACTCCAAGTGCACTTAAGCCAGTTAATTTCAAATGACTTAAACATGTTTAATTGTGGACTGAAGATCTGCTGGCCACTGCCATCCACAAGGGCCTGCTTGCTGCTCTCAAACATCTGGCATTTACCATATGTGGCTCTTTTGTCCAGCAAGTCTGGCTTCTCCATTATAAGCCATGGCATCTGTCCAAACTATTTCCCTGTAATTTGCGCCCTTTCCTCTGACCACCAATCATTTCATAGAATCACAGAACAGTAGAATCGTAAGTGGCCATGAAGGCCATTGGGTCCAGTCCCCCGCTTTTGCAGGGCACTAATTTACACCATCCCACTCAGAAGGCTGTCCAGTTTCTGTTTGAATATCTCTAATGTGGTAGAGCCCACCACCTCTCTAGATAGCTGGTTCCATTGTCGTATTGCTCTGACAGTGGGGAAATTTTTCCTGATATCTAGCCTGAACCTCGGTTGTCGCAACTTGACTTGATTATTCTGTGCCCTACACTTTGGGATCACTGAAAAGAGTGCCTGACCTTTCTGTTTGTGAAAGCCTTTGAGGTACTTATTACAGGGATAACATCCTGTCTCAGTCTTCTCTTTTCAAGGTCAAATATACCCAGTTCTCTCAGTCTCTCCTCATAGGGCAGTATGGTGCCAAAACTGGACACAGTATTCCAGATGAGGTCTGACTAGTGAGAAGTATAGGGGAACTACTACATCTCATGATGTGGAAGTAATATTTCTATTAATGTATCCCAAAATAGCATTTGCCATTTTGGTGGCTGCATTGCATTGTTAGCTCATATTTAGCCTGTTGTCCTCAATTACTTCGAGGCCTTTTTCTTTTTCAGTTCTGCTGAGCCACATATTCCCCATCTTTTATCGATGCATTTGGTTTCTTTTTTCTAGATGGAGGACTTGCCACTTGTCCATATTGAATCTCATTCTGTTGCCTTCAGCCCAGTGTTCAAGTTTATCAAGATTGCCCTGGATCTTCATTTTGTCTTCTAAGGTGTTTGCTATTTCACCCAGTTCAATACCATCTTGAAATCTGATTATCATTGCTTGATAATCATATCAATGCTTGATAATCATATCAAGCATTGCTTTATATCATCTAAATCATTAATAAGGATGTTGAAGAGCACTGGGCCTAGGACTGAACCTTGTAACACTCCACTAGTTACCTTCTTCCAGTTTGAGAAGATGGCATTGATAAGCACTCTTTGTGTCAGACCAAGCACCCAATTCTGGATCCACCTAAGTTTTCTACCTAGCCCACTTTTGCTAATTTGCTTATCAGGATGTCACTTGGCACTGTGTCAAAAGCTTTGCCAAAGCTGAAATAGATTATGTCCACAATGTTCCCTCTGTCCATTTGGGAGGTTATCCAGTGAAAAATGAGATTAAATTAGTCTGACAGGATTTATTTTTGGTAAATCTATGTTGGCTTCTATTAATCACTGCATTTCCTTCAAGATGCTTGCAGACTGATTTTTTAAATAATTTTTTCCAGAATCTTTCCAGGGATTGATGTCAAACTAACTAGTTTGTTGTTACTAGGTTCATCTCCCCCCCCCCCCTTTTTTTTTTTTTTATTTTTTATTTATAGCCTGCCTTTTTCCTACAAAGGGCTCAAGGCAGCTTACATCATTCTCCTCCTCCATCTTATCCCCACAACAACCCTGTGAGGTAGGTTGGGCTGAGAGTCTGTGACTGGCCCAAAGTCACCCAGTTGGCTCCATGGCTGAGCGGGGACTAGAACCCAGATCGTCTGAGTCCCAGTCCCATGCTCTTAACCACTACACCACAACGTGCCCCTCTTCAGTCATCTGACATTTCTCCTGTTCTCCAGCATTTATCAAAGGTAATAGCCTGTGGTTCTGAGAGTTCCTCAGCTAGTTCTTTTGTGAGTCTGAGATGGAGTTCAACAGGCCCTGGAGATATGAGCATGTTCATTCTATCTAGATATTCCTTGATCAGTTGCCTGTGAGTCTTGGGCTGCCATCTCTCACTTTCAGCTTGTACTTCCTCCTGGTTGTAGATTTTCTTGTGGGAGAAGACTGAGGCAAAGTAGGAATTGAGCAACTCCGCCTTTTCCTTGCTGTCTGCTATCACTTTGCCATCTACTTTAAATAGCTGGACACTCTTCTCTTTCACATATCTTTTGTTTTGGATGTATCTTAAGAAAGTTTTCTTGTTGTTCTTAGCATCCCTTGCTATTCTCAGTTCATTTCCTGCTTTAGTCTTCCTGATGCTGTCCCTGCAATTCCTTGCTATTTATAATCTTTCTTTGTGGCCTGACCCCACTTCCCCTTCCTGTACATGTTCCTTTTTTCTTTCAGGCTCTCACTTAATTTTCTGTGGAGCCACGTGGGCTTCCTCTGATGTCTTCTACACTTTTTCTTGTTGGAATCACTCATAGTTGTGCCTGGAGAATCTTCTTTTTCAAGATTTCCCATCTCTCTTGGACTCCTTCTCCCCTAAGGGTGAGTTGCCATGCCACCTTGCTTATCATTGTTCTGAGTTCATTAAAGTTGGCTTTCTTGAAGTCTGGGATACATGTTTGGCTGCAGTTAACCTTTGTCTCATTTATAATTGAGAATTTGAGTATTGCCTGGTCACTTTGCCCAAAGTTCTCATGGCTGCTATTTTGTCCACCAGGCCATCCCTGTTACTTAGTACTAAATTGAGGATAGCTGATCCTCTCATTCCTTCTTCTACCTCAGACCTGGGCATTGTACGGCCCGCGGGCCTCATCCGGCCCAATGGCTGACCCTGACTGGCCCGCATGAGGTCACTGGCAAATTAAAAGTCAATGCAAATACATATTGTCATAATACAGATGCAAGCAATACAACTGCACTGCTTTTATTTTGAAGGATCTGTTGAATTGAATTGAATTTATTGCTTTTCATGTAACGTTAATGTTAATGTTTTTGTGAATATTCATTAAATAGTGTTGTTCTGTGCTCCACATTTT